GAGCCACAGTTTGTTGTGATCCACACAGTCAGACACCTTTCCATAGTCAATGAAACACAGACATTCTTGTTACTCTCTGCTTTCAGCCAACATCCATCTGACATTAGCTATAACATCCCTAGTACCATGGCCTCTTCTAAACCCAGCCTTCACTTCTTTAGGGCAGATTATTTCTTCTTAGATAACAATTATTTCCTGTTACTGCTGGAAATACAGACAGCAAAGCATGCACCAGTGGATGTGGATTAGAGACCTGAAGTTAGGGACTGGTCTGGCCATCCTTTCTGAGTTGATCTCCATCTGTGGTCATACCCTCACTGCCCACAAAGGCTCTTATCCAGTCTTGTCAGCTGCTGTTGTCAGTTTAATCCCGAGGAGGTCATTCTGGAAAGAGCACTGTGCTCAGGGCAGCCATTCTTTCTTTACTAGCTCAACCGATTGTTGTTTTAAAAAGACTTCAGGGAACCCTAAGGGGCAGTTCTGCTTTCTCTTTTAGAGTCACTATGAGTTGGAATCAACCCAATGACAGTGGGGAAGAGAAATTAATTTCATTTTTATCTTAGGTTTAATTAACAAAGTAGAAAACTGTTTACTGATCTATCAGAAAATGACTCTTCTCTCACTTGTCCTACCTTGTGCTATTCCGCCTTCAGTATTATTTTAGAATACAGAGCTCTTTGCTGTGTATTTCAGTCTTTTGGTACTTATTCTACTGTTTTAGTCTTTACTTACCCTTAATCACTACAATATTCAGAGCCTCTTCTGACATCCATTTTTGTCATTTTGTCCTCTGTAATGACTTTTTGTCTTCTTCATGGATACGGGTTTGAACCAGCAACCTTTCAGTTAGCAGTAGCACTCTCAGCCTCTGCAGGGTTCTTTTGTGGCTACAATGAGATTAAGTGACAATTTCTGGAGGTTTTGTTTGTTTTTTGTCTTTGTGATTCACTTATTTCCTTCCATTTTTCATGGATTGTACCCCCCCAATAATATGTGTGAAATGATGTAGACATTTCTTCTTTTTTTGTTTGCTTTTATTATTAAAAAAATTTAATGAAAATTAAAAAAAAATACTTCAGGGGATAGTTTGGGTTTAAGGCTTAAAGATATCCTCAGGGCAGTAGTTTCAGGAGGTCATCTATCCTCTACATACCAAGAAAATCTAGTCTGTGAGAATTTGCAATTCTGTTCTGCATTTCCACCTGTTCTTTGGTCAGGATTATTCTGTTGACTCATCTATCAAAACATTCAGTAATGGTGGCTGGGGACCGTTCAGTTCTCCTGGTCTGAGGGCAAAGGAGACAGTTGTTTATGGAGATGGTGGATCACACATTCTGTTTCCTCCTCCTGGTCCTGACTCTTCTCTTCTTCCTCTGTCGCTCCAGATGAACAGAGACCACCTGTTGTGCCTTCATGGCCTTTTAAAGGATCTTAAGACCCATTGTTATCAGTTGTCACCGTAGTGTGAAATTGCTTTTGGGGATGCAGTTTCTCCCTATTCCCTGCCTGTTCCTACTCATCAAAACAATCTTGCCCTCTCCAGAAAGAGCCCTCTGACCTAAGGGTTGTAGATGGGAGGAGGTATAAGTTGAGAGATTTGATCTCTAGGGACAGCAGCTGGGCACCCCCAGGATCTGTCAAGGTGTTTTAGCTTCCTATCGCTGCTGTAACAAATGACCACCCAGTTAGTGGATTATAACAGCATGTATTTATCACCATAAGGTTCTACAAGTCAGAAGCTGGGCGTGGGTCTCACTGGGTTAAACTCAAGCTGTCGGCAGGCTTCCATTCCTCCTGGAGGACCCAGGGAAAGCCTGTTCCCTTGCCTTTGCCGGCTTCTAGAAGCTGCCTGAGTTCCTGCTCTCCATGGCCGCTCCTGCGTCATCGGAGGCAAATGCCAAGAGTCTTTCAGTTTTCTCCTTTCTGATCTCTATTTCCTTGGTCATGCTGCCTTTTCTGCCTCTTCTAAGAAGTCTGTGACTACATGGGGGAGCTCTGGTGGCCTAGTGGTAAGAAAATGCCCTGCGATCCCAAAGATGCATGGTTGAGTCCACCACCTGTGCCATGTGTGAGAAGAATGGGCAATCTGCTTCCAAGGGATTTACTGCATCTGTAAACCCACTGGAGGGTCAGCTGTGGGTCAGATCCAACTTGACAGCACACAACAATGTGACTACGTGGGAGCCGTTGGGTGGCACAAATGGTTAAATGTTCAACTGTTCACCGAGAGGCTGGAGGTTTCATATCTGCCAGGAGATACCTTGGAAGAAAGACCTGGCCGTCTGCTTCCAACTGTTGAAAACCTTCTGGAGCACAGTTTACTCTGGCACACCTGGGGTCCTCGTGAGTTAGAACTCATGCCATGGCTTCTGTGTGACCACACTGGACCCACCTAGAAAATCCAGGCCAGTCTCCCCATCTCCAGCAACAACAACCACAAACCCATGGCCACTTGTCCATTCGGAATCACAGCAACCCCACCTGTTACGGGGCAGAACTGCTCCGTAGGGTCTCCTTGCCTGTCATCTTCATGAAAAGAGATTGCCACACCTTGATTCTGTGGGACTGCTAGGTAGCTTTGAACTTCCAGCCTTTGCATTAGCAGCCAGTTGCAAACTACCTGAGCTACCCATGGGCCTCAGTCACGTCTGCAACGTCCTTTTCCAAGTTCACAGGTTCCAAGGATTATGACCTGACCATTGACGTGCAGGTGGGGCAGGCATGATTCCTAATTCCATAGGGAGTCAAAGTGCAGGTAGTTTGGGGCGGCGGTGGGGGTGGGGTGGTGGTGTCAGGAAAGGCCTGGTGGTCAGCTTCCAAAAATGGGTCAATTCCAAGCTGCACTGAGGTCTGTTGGGCATCTTCTCAGCACTTGGGCTTTCCTGACTGACCAGGATTTGAACCAGATCTTCCACATGAAAGTGAGGCTTCTCCCATCAACCTCCACTGCCCTCTAATTACAGCTAGTAATGGAATCTCTTTCCATATCACGAGTTAGTGTAATGTAATCAGTTGGTTGAGGGCACACTCGTAAAGGGTGGAACTGAGTTCCAGTCGCTTCTATGTCATGGAATCACAGGGCAGACAGAGGGATCCTGACTGCCGCGTGGATGACTGTCAAGGAACAAGCACGTGCATTTGCTGCAAGGGGTGCAGCCAGACGGCTCCTTAGATTTGAGGGTGGCAGGACTGTGTCTCACACGCTGTGGGCATGTTCTCAGGAGGGCCTGGGCCCTGCAGAATCATGTGGTGCTTGGTAGAAATAGACAGCCGGTGGAAAAGAAGGCCGCCGGTGAGACAGGCTGGTACAGGCCTCAGCTGAGCTCTCCCCCAGCAGCGCTAACATACGTGGGTGCTAAGTGCTCCTCGGGTGGCCCAGGGCTGGCCAGCGAGGCCTCTGAGCCAGAGACCCCGTCCCCCAGCCCACCACCCTGCCTCCTCACCCCCCAGACCCTGAAGAATCGATGGCTGCAGCAGTACAGCCACGACTCAGCCGACCCGGGCATCCTTGTGCTCCTGGCCTGTGGGACCATCTCCAGCACCTGCGGCCAGATAGCCAGCTACCCGCTGGCCCTGATCCGGACCCGGATGCAGGCCCAAGGTAAGGCCAGGGCCCGGGGCAGGCCAGGGAGGGCCCCAGGGTGGGATTCCACCTCCTCTCCCCACCTCCAGCTAGCCCAGAAACAGGCCAGGGCTGGGATCCTTGCCTAAGCCCTGCTCTTGTCTAGGCCTCAGTTTACCTATCTGTACATACACCATTAACACGGGAGCCCTTGAGCGTCACAGAGCAGTGAGTGAGGTGTGGAGATCGAGGCTGGCAGAAGGCTGGGACGTCCTAGCTGATAACTCCAGTCTCTTGTACTTTGGGCATGTTGCTAGGAGAGGCTAGTCCTTAGAAAGGGACATCAAGCTTGGAAAGATGGAGGGTCAGCGAAAGAGAGGAAGACCCCCAAGGAGACGGACCGACACAGTGACTGCAGCAATGGCCTCCAGTGTGTCAGAGATGAGGATGGCACAGGCCAGGACAGGGTTCAGATCTGCCGTTTGTAGGGTCACTATGAGCTATGAGTGTACTTGACTCCACAGCACTTAACAACAGCAACTCCAGCTTCTAACTTGCAAGGCTGTTCCTGGTTTTGGCTGTGTTAGATTCTTGTTCCTTACCCCTAGACCTCCAGAGCTCCTTCTGTGTCTGCCTTCTTGTTTTGTTTTGTTGCTGTGAATTGAAGGAGCTCTGATGGCCTAGTGGATAAAGAGTTGCGCTTCTAACAAAGAGGCAGGCAGTTCGAATCCATCAGCTACTCAGAGGGAGAGAGGTGAGCAGTGGCCTCCCGTGTGATTTACTACCTCTGGAAACAGGCTGGAGGGGTCGGCTGTGAGTTGGTTACAGCTCAGCGGCCCACAGTGACGACATTCCTGAAAGAGGGTGTTCACTGGGGGTGCATCCATGTGTGAGACACCTAACCCCAGAGAGCTCACAGGCAGGAAGGGTGGGAAGATGCTGAAGAAGGCATCCCCCAACTTAGGATGGATTTAGGGGTGAGTGGAGGGTTAGGAAGGGCCTGGCTAGGCCAGGGCACCAGGGAGAGCATCCTTGAAGAGAGGCCTTTGTGTTGGTATTGAGGCAGAGAGGGCGAGCGGACGTGAGCTGAGCAGAGGAGGAAACTGAGTCCCAGGCAGAAGTGTATGTGTACGTGTACATGTTCACACCTTTGCTTCGTTTCTAGTTGTCCCCAAACTTAGATTCTTAGGGGCAGACAATTCCAATGAACCCCTGATACTGGGAGGTAGGTGCCCCTGTTGGTCTAACCCTGCTCTTTCCTGCTGCAATGGCTGCCCTGACTCCCTCCCCCCACCCCTCACAGCCACCATAGAGGGTGCCACCCAGTTCTCCATGCTGGGTCTGCTCCGTCACATCCTGTCCCAGGAGGGCGTGCGGGGTCTCTACCGAGGTATCGCCCCCAACTTCATGAAGGTGATCCCGGCGGTGAGCATCTCCTATGTGGTCTATGAGAACATGAAGCAGGCCCTGGGGGTCACGTCCAGGTGAGGGGCCCGGAGCCGGCCACCCAAGACTCCTCATTATGACACCCCCACAGCTCACTCACTAGAGACTTCTAGCTCAAACACTGGATCCCAGACCTCACCTCCCAAGGCCACTGGATCTAGAATCCTGGGCTCCTCTCCCCGACCACTGGGTCCTGGACTCCTGGATCCAGAATCCTGGGCTCCCCATCCTGACCACTGGGTCCTGGACTCCTGGATCCAGAATCCTGGGCTCCCCAGCCTGACCACTGGGTCCCAATACCCAGGCTCTGAATCCTGATCCTGGCCACCTGACCGTGGGACCTACATGTGAGCAACTTCTGTCCAAAGTCCAAAGCACCAGGTCAAAGGTCCTCCACGCCCAGCCCTTTAATCCTGGCCCCCTGTGTCACTGTGTCCAGCTCCCCAATTCCAGCTTCTCAGTTCTGCCTTGCCCTGCCCCACCCTTCAGATCCTGGGTCCCCACATCCTAACCACTGGATTCCCCACAACTCAGCGAAGAGCTCCTCATGCCCCAACCACAGAAGCACATACCCCAAGCCCCAGCACTCACACCCCAGCCCCCTAGGGTCACAGATCTCGTCTCCCCATGGCGCATTGGGTCCTTGAACCTCACCACTACCATCCAACTCCAGATCCCCATGATCTAAGCTCTGGAAGTTCAGGCTTCGCCACCAGATGCTAGAGATTAAGAAACTGCAGTGACTAGATCCTAAAACCCCAAACACTGGATCCCCTCTGTCCCCAACCACTGTACACTCTGACCCAAGCCCTTAGATCTCCTCTCCCAACCACTGGAGCCCCTCAACCCTAAACAACAGATCCCCTGACCCCAACCAGTGGATCCCCTCCCCCACAGTCACTGGACCCCTGATCCTAGCCACCGGACCCCTGACCCTAGCCACTGGATCCTCTCTTCCCCCACCACTGGCCACTGGACCCCTGATCCCACCCACTGGACCCCTGACCCCACCCACTGGACCTCTGACCCCAACCACTGGACCCCTGACCCCAGCCACTGGATCCCCCATCTCAGCCACTGGACCCCTGACCCTGGCCACTGGATCCCCCATCTCAGCCACTGGACCCCTGACCCTGGTCACTGGACCCTGACCCCGGTCACTGGATCTCCTCGCCTCAACCACTGTCTCCCCTTCCACCAACCACTGGTCTCCTGAGTTCTTCTGTCTCGACCACGGGATCCCAGAGCCCTGCGTTTGGGAGGCTTGATCCTAGTGTTTGAACCACTACCCCCTCAACTCCCCACCACTGGATCCCAGACTCTCATCTCCACCACTCGTCTCCTGAGTTCCTCCGCCTCGACCGCTGGATCCCAGATCCCTATGTTTGGATGGCCGGATTCCTGCTCTTTAACCACTAGACTCTCAGCCCTCAAACCCTGGATTCCAGCACACCTGTGTCTCGACCACTGGATCTGGGATCCCGGAGCACGGATGACCATGTCCCTACATTTCAGCCACGGCTTCCTTACCCCTCAACCACCGGAGTCCAGAGCCGCTGACCCCAACCCCTGGATTTCTCAGTTCCCAGCCTCAACCCAGCGGTCCTGGATTCCTGAACCTACACTACCAGGCTCCTCCATTGCCGTGACCGGGTCCCAGGCCCCTTCACCACGACCCACTGTATTCCTGAGTTCATATGTGTTCACTACTGGATCCCAGACCCCATCGCCCCTCAGCCAGTGGATTCTAGTGTGCCTGTGTCTTGACCACTGGTTCTGGGATTCCTAAGCATGGGCTTACCACGTCCCCACATTTCAACCCCTGCATCCTCAACCCCTGGCCACTGGATCCTTGGCCTTTCACCCCTCAAACACTGCATTCCAGGGCTCCTGGGCTTCTACCACTAGATCCTGGATCCCTGAGCCCCCTCATTTCCCCTCCCCCTGACCCACTGGATTCTGGTTCCTAAAACCATAAGCGCTAGAGCTCAGCAGCAAATGGGAACAGGCCTCCTCACCCCAGATCTCGGATTCTGCACCCCAGATCCCTGGACCCCTTAACGGACTCGGAAACCTCATCCAGGGAAGTCTGACCCCCATAATTGAGGCACTGGATCCATCTCTAGCCCTGGGTGTGGATCTGAGTCCCTCATGCACTGGAGCCTTCAGAACCCAAGTCCTGTGTCTGGGAGCTCGGTCACGGGGTCCCACATCCCACACTCACTGGAGCCCAGAGCCCTCGCCTCGTGACGCCAGATCCCATGGCCTAGGGAGGGTATGGGGAAGCCTCGGTCCTGACGAGGCCTCAGAACACCTGTGGGCTTCAAGGGTCTTGGCTTGGTGTGGTCAAACACCAGGGGGAGGGGGCACCTCCCTGCACTGATGTCAGGCCCACCTGGCCCCTCCTGGCATGATGAGCTTCCTGGTCTGCACAGCAGCCTCCTCCCCCCTCCCCCCCGCCCCACTCTGCAGTGTCTTCCAGCCCCCCTCACCTTACTGATAACCCCCTCCCCAGGGCTGTAAAGAGGCATTCCAAAGCCTGGGCCAATTAAGGGGACCCCCTCACCCCAGCACTGCCAGCCCCTCCTCAGGCTCTGCCCTTCAGGCCTCAAAGAGAGTAGGGCCACTCTTCCCCAAATCCAAGTCTTCGATTATGCAAAAAAACAAGAGAAAAGCCACTCCCCCAAACCCAAGCAGGTCTATTTTTCTACCAGAGAGAGAGAGAGAGACACCCCCCACTCCCCAGCCTAAATCCCGCCTCTCCACTCTCTCCATATCTGCACTTTATAGTTGGATTCTGAGCTTAGGATAATTGGGGGACCCCTCCCTCCACTCCTTACTCTTTGGGGAGCTTGGCTGAGGGGCCCTGACAGAGGAATGGGGATGTTTGAGGGGCTGGAGGAGCGCCCCCGTGGCTTCTCCCTCCCTCCACCCACCCCGTGTCCCGCCTCCCCGTATGTGATGGCAAAGGTAATGAAAGAGAATAAATTTTCTAAGCTCTTTCAGTGTGGTTTTTTACTGCAGGGGTGAGGGCCAGTGGCTTTGGGAGCAGTTGAGACACCTTTATCTCTGGGCTCCAAGCCCTTGGGAGGAACCTGGCGGAAGATCAGGTATGGGCTGGTTCCAACTCCACAGTGCACAACAACAACTAACAGAAGGGGGCAGAAACCTGTCCTGAGAGCCCGGGGGATGCCCTGAGTCGAGGCAGTGTGAAAGCACCCCCCAACCATCATCGGACGGGTTTGTAACATGCTGTCAAGTCTGAACTGATGCCGCTCTTAAGAGGAGAGCAAGTGGTGTCCAGTTATTGCATTTCCAACGTCAGACCTTTTGGAAGTAGACCACCAAGTCCTACGTCCAGGGCTTGAACGGCCAGCTTTCTGGATAATAGTCCAGCGCTTAGGGGCTCTGGGGGCCTAGTCTAGGAACTCCAGGGCTAACCCAAAGGTGGTGTGTACCATCGACCTGGAACCAACCCCTAGCTGACCCCCAGGTGGGTTTTCAGAGGCAGCTAACCGCGCAGGGGAAGACTGTCCATTTTCCTCCCGTGGAGAAGCTGGTGGATTCGAACTGCCTGCCTTTGAGATTGCAGCGCAGCTTCTTACCACTAGACCACCACCAGGATCAACCAGTGCCCTACTAGAGAAATATGGGCAATCTCCTCCTATGCCGGTCCCAGCTTCAAATAACCCACCAGAGAGTGTGCTATAGATCAGTTCTGACTTGACACCAAGGAGTTTTGAGAGTGATCATTTCTGCTACCCAGGGGGCCTGTCAAGATGGCATTCAGAATGCCCTGCTCTGCTCCATCACCACAGCTCATGTGAGTCAGATTCAGCTCAGCGGCCCATGGCAGCAACAAGACCCATACCCCACACCCCAGACTTCCATGGTTTATTTGATGTTCTGAAAAAGATATTTGGTTTTTTCAACCCATGGGCTCATCTGTGAAGGAATGCATGGAGAAATGAAGCTACAACATTTCCACTGTGGAGTAGGATGCAGCACTGAAAAGCAATGAAAAATTGGTGGAATAGTGCACAGCGTCGATGCATCCAGAGGATGTTATGCTGGCAAACTGAGTCACTGAACAAAAGGACAAATACTGTCGGGGACACTTATAAAAACTAGAGAGAGGTTTACATATGGAGTCAGCTTGGTGTGGTTTATGGGGGTGGGAGAAGTAAGAAATAAATGCATGTTGTTGTTGTCAAGTGATGTCGAGTTGAGTACGACTCATAGCGACCCCATGAACAAAAGATCGGAACCCTGTCTTATCCTGCGCCATCATCACACTTCCTGACACACTAGAGCCCATTGTGGCAGTCACCTTGTCAGTCCACCTGGTTGACAGTTTTCCTCTCCTTTGCTGACCCTCCACCCTTCCCAAGGTCGTGTCCTCCTCCAAGGAACAGCCCCTCCTGGCAACATGCCCAAAGTATGAGGTCTGAAGCCTCATCATTCTTGCCTCGAAGGAGCACTCTGGCTGCACCCTCTCCAAGGCATAATCTTTTTGTTCTCTTGGCTGTCTGTCTGTGGGATGTTTGGTGCTCTTCTCCAACACCACAGCTCAGAGGTGTTGATTTTTCTGTCATCCTTATTCACAGTTTAGCACTCAGACGCATAACAAGTGATTGGAAAGATTATGGCCTGAATCAGAAGCATTTTAGTCCTCAAACTGACATTATTATTCCTCAATAATTTGGAGAGATCCCTACCTGCAGATTTTCCCAGTGCAATACATCTCCTTATTTCCTGACTACTCATACCAAGGCTGTTAATCGTGAATCCAAGCAAGATGAAGCTGTTGACAGTTTCAGTCTCCTCTCCATCCATTATGATGTTGCCTATCGGTCCAGTGGTAAGAATCTTTGTTTTCCTGGCATGGAGATGCAATCCATACTGAAGGCTTCCTTCCTTGATCTTCTGCAACAAGTGCTTCAAGTCCTTTCCTCACTTTCAGCAATAAATGGACAGACAATGATTACTGGAATGAGTGGAGGTAAGGGCATTGTGGAATGAATGGACTGTCAGACATTGTATGTACAGTAATTAACATTTTGGAATAAGATATGCATGACTGGGGGAGGGGACACAACTAAGACAACATACCACAATAGGCTTTGGGGA